TTTCCCTTTACTCTGTTTTGTTTTAAACTAATTTATGCCACATTGTTCATTCTTGAAGCAAACTTATATCCGTTTGGTGATTAAATAGTTTTAGACCGCTGCTTGAATTGAATGTGACGCATCCGTTGATACCTGTGAGGCAGCGCTGCGCTTTTGCCCAGTGTGTGACTTACATATATATATTTTTTTATTTTGATTTGATAATCATGCAGTGTTTTAAAATAGAAATAATTTCAAATATGAAATTTAATCATAAGCTTAGTGAACAGTTTTGGAGAATTTGATGTTTCCCCATTCAAAGATATAGGAGTTGCACTTGCATGCCCGAGAGGCGTTTCAAAGATGGCCGCCGAGTGACATGACTTGTTTTTTTTTTTTTTTTTGGATTAGATAATCATGCAGTGTTCTAAAATAGAAGCAAATAAAGTGTGAAAGTACACATACAATATCAATAACCTATGTACGTAATTTTAATGCTATGGCCTTGTGTAGATATTTAAAGATGGCCATCTTTAAGCATTACTGTTGAAATTAAATGGTAATACTTAACAGTAAGAGTCCATTTGTAATATTAATGAAAGCTGTAGAAGTATTGTTCTTAGTGTTCATTTAAACTTTTACTATTACTAATAGGCTACATTTTTAAATTTTAAAGTTTCTTCTTTTAACATTAGTAAACTATGAAATAACATTAATGATCAATAGAATAATTAATGTTAATATGTTTATTAATTTACAAAGTATGGTTCAGTACTGCTACTGCTTTTTTAAAAATAGTAAAGAACTGTTTTAGTTTTCGTTTAGTATCCATTTTAAAAACTATCGGTTGATTAATCGGTATCGGCCAGTGTGGTCCAACCTTGCTATCTGTATCGATAAAATCCACAATCGGTCGACCTCTAATGAATACATTCAGTGTTCATGGATTCAGGCTAATTCTGAATCTGAATAATATCATTGGAATTAATAGACATTTAAAACACATTTAGATATCAATAATAAACCAATATTAGGACAATTGTGTTTACTTTTGTATGTTAAACATTTTTATACAACATACTACGTTAGGTCGGCATTTGATTTCAGATATCGAGTCAAGTAAAACCAGTTGCGACTACTGGGTAAAGTGATTCTGAAATCATCTCAGTGTTTAAAGAGCAGGTCATATGGGTTTTTGAAAAATATCTCTTTTGCCGTTTATAATGTAGCTATCCTTAAATGAAAACAATCTGCAAAGTTGTTTATCAAAAAAAGTGCACGATAAATAAAGATACTGTCTCTCAAAAGAGAGAGTCGATTCTGAATCGCCTTAATGAGTCGTCATATTTTCGAATCTTTTGCCTGTTACCGGTATACGTCACTGGGTAACACATTTGCATAATCCCCACCTGCCCGCGAAATATGAACAGAGTCTGACCTGCCAACAAACACTTCCGCTAGTTAGTGTATTTACATCATGTTGAGAAGATGCTGTGTTCAAGGATACCACAGAAATACAATTCCAGCCTTTTGTTGTGTGCATGTCATTTTACCAAGGACTGCTTCTCTAATCTTGGCTTTTATCTTCGTTGGCTTCTAATCTTTTTAATTTGGACTAACAAGCTCTCCGAACCACAACCTGTAAGTACGATTGATACGTTATGTGTACATTTTCAACTGAGTGCTCAAAATATCATGTTTTTTTGCTAATATGTGATGTACACCTAGTGCAGCTTTAGGTTTCCAGGTAAA